GTCTTACAGCTTTAGAAACCAACACTTTCAAATTTCTAATAGTATATATGAAACTCCACCTTAAGTTTATGAGCTGTTTGAATAACCACTTCATACATCCATTTTCATTTCTACTTTGTTTAAAATACTCTTATGTCCATATGCACATCAACCAAAGATAAAAGTGAACTTAACCATCAAAGAAAGATGAAAGTAAACTTTTATCATGCCGATGGGAGAAGGAAGAACTATATGTAATGAACAGAAAAGACAGGAAAACTGCAAATAGTAAAGTAAAAAAATGCCTACCTGAAAATGTGAACTACTCAAGCAGCGACCTATTTGACGAAACAAAGGTACCATGCAACGTTGAAATTCTGCAGGTTGTGTAGCTTCTAAAACTTCTTCCATTTCACCCAAGAACATGACCTCTTTTGAACTATTTGTAATTGGCCAATATTTTAACATGCCCCGTATAACAGTATCAGCAAGTTTGCAGTCCTTTTCCACAAATTGAGCAATGCAGTAAGACAACTGCTGATGATACATGGTTAAGCATTTGGGTTTGTGAAGTGGTATCAAAGCACGAACAAGAAAGAGCTTATGCTCTTCCTTCAGTGGCAAGGCAAATCCATTGATTATGCTTCCCAAGATTTCCAATAGCTCTGCAATCCCATTGTGCTTCTCAGTTTCAAAAATAAAGCGGTAGAAGATATTGTTGATTGCTTTCCTGATAAATGGACGATGGACCATAAATTTTCCATAGGTTCGGTGCAGAACCATTTTCAAGTACTCCCTTTCTCTGGGGTCCTCCGAATCAAAAAGGTCTAACAACCTTAGAACAAAAGAGTGATCAATGTACCGCTTGGCCAATTTTGCATCTGTCTCGGGTGATGACACAAACCTCAAAAGAATATCATAAACAGTTTGCAAATGGAGCCATGCAGGATCCATAGAGGGCTCCTCCTCTTCCAAGTCAAATCCTTCTAAAACTCTGTTTTCCCGGGGTGGAGAGGTCAAAGCCCTAAACAAATTTACGGAAGCCATCTTTACAATTCCTTGCATAACAATTTCCGGAAATTTCCCATTGGCAGTAGAAACATAATCCAGCAGTTCCACCAGAGTCTGCCGTTTGATGTCCTTTTCTTTGATGTTCTTCGTTGGGTCAGTGAAATCAAATAGAATGCAACATGAGCTCAGTTTTCTGATAAATAAGTTCTGCTTCTCAGAATTTGGAACATCCCTAAGACTTGGCAATGCCTCAAAAGAAGCCACTAGATTGCCATTCAGCTTTGAATTTACAGGCTGGGACACCTTGGTGCCATAATTCAGACCTGAATTTGGAGCGGGATGAAGAGCTGAAAAAGATGTGTCATTCAAATTTACATTCCGGTTGCTAGCTAAATCACTGTTTCTTGAACTGTTAGATGAATTTGGGGAAGCAGTAGATCCTGCCCCACCATCACGAGCGTCACCTGACTTAGATGGCTTCCTTGGGAGCCTATTAAGTATCTGTTTGATCATAACTGAAGTGGAAAAACCTCCTTCTCATGCACTCAATAACTCAACATTAACACAAATACTTCAAAGCTAATGCACCATCAATATGTCAGAAGGACATCTCAGCCCACCAAGAAAGACAGAATTTCACCAAATTTTACAATCCCGAGATTCAAATCCAGTGATGACACAATATCATTAGGAAATCACGTCCACCTTTATTTAAGAAATGCTCCACTTCCTAGTTCCAACAGGATCAAACCCAGTTCAAACTTCCAACCTTGTAAAGCCCAACCTAAAGAAATCAATCAACTAAAACAAATGCCCGCTTTACCATTGCTCATCTAAACAGAATGAAGCCTTCATCTTTCCATTTTAACACCCAACAACAAATCCTCTAGACTTATATTCAGGCATCCATATCGCCAAAGCAAATAAAAATCAAAAAGCACCCAAGAATTTCCAAAATTCAAAATGAATTTACGAGGTTTCGTTCCAAACCACTCTAACAAGTAAAGGGATAATGAATATTCACTTTTCTCCCTGCCTCTCCTTTCCTCAGCTTCCCCTGATTGAAAAAGCACTCCAGAGGATCAAAAGCTATCAAGATCTGGGCATGATCTCAAAAACCCTAGCATTCTTCCACCAACAACAACCTACACAAGCACCCATCAAAAGCCCATAAGCAAATCATAACAAAAGCATTAAACATCCAAAACCCAGAAAGAATAAGGTATGATAAATGATAAAGGAGCAAGATTTCAGAAAAGCAGTGGAAAAAATGAGTGGAATTAAACACTTACAGGAAAAGATGATTAGAACAAAATTTGATCAGAGGAAATGGAATTTGGGAAAAACCATCAAACTTTTGGTTGTCGATGCTCTGTTTTCATCTTCTGAAATCAATGCAACAAGCATTTCAAGTTTTCCATTTTCCTTGTCTAGTTTCTCTGCTCAACTTTTTGGAGGAATTTCATTCCATTCCAGCCTCAAAAGCCCACATACTCCGAACTTTTGATTCTTTCCAGATGAAAGTTGAACCTAACTTTCCAAAACACCCCTAAATATTTCACAAAATTGGAGCCTTACACCGCTTCGGACAGAACAAGATAAGGTTAAAATAGGAATTGCAGGAAAATGTCGTTGGTGATTAAACACGCGCCATTGAAGTGCGCGTGGGAGTGGCCTGGTCTTGACCCCGCCTGTTGTCGTCCAGAGCTTCAAAATCTGGGTGTCGGGTATACTATTTTCCGTTGAGATTGGGGAGAGACCCCACGTGCCCCCTTGGCGCGTTCATTAAAAGTTACATTGGGATTAATTTATTTACACCTCCTTTAGTTTTTTTTTTAATTTTTTAATAATATTAAATTTTAATTAATTTAAAATCTAATCAGGTTTAATTCATAAAAATAAAGTTTTTTTTTTTATTTTTTTTTATTTTTAAAACTTAAAATTAAACTTTATTTTAAAAAATTGAAATTTTTCCATTGAAATTAATAAATTATCAGTTAAGTTTAATTAATTTGTATACCTCTATTTATGTTTTTGAGAGGTGTTAAAATCATTTTACGCATTGAAATATTGTTCTTCGTGTTTCGTATCAATTTTCGCCCTTTAATTTCATTTGTAAAGGTGTCTCTTTTCTTCCTATCTGATAAAGTTTTATTTGATAAGACAACCACCATATTATAGTATTGTTTAAAAAAATTAAATAAATTTTTAATTGTGGTTATTGTCATTAAAAATGTTATTAAAATTATTAAATTTAATTGTAATTTTATTCATTTATAATAATTAAAAATATTTATTTATAAATTAATTTTAATATATTAAATAATAGTGAATTAATTTTTTTATTAATTATATTTAATAATAAAATTAAAATTAAAATTAAAAAATGAATAATCTTAACAAATTTAGTAATGATTATAACTGTAACCAAATTGTCTCTTTCTTCCAACATTTTTCTAGGGAAATATTCATTTTTGTGTCGTTTTAAAAAAAGGAAAATAATAAGATAGGGCCATAGTACATATTTAGGTGTAATAGGGG